CGCCCTATTAACCGTTTAAGGTAATAACGGAACTACGAAAAATGCAATAAAAAATTTTATGCCTACTTCATTGTTCTGAACCCAGGCAAGCGCATTATAGTTTTGCAAAGTTGACCTCGAACAAGACAAGAACGCCACCCCTCACAACACCGGAAGCCAACGCATGGACACATTTCTCAACGATGAAACAAACAAAACAAAAGATCCCTTACTTCCCAGTATGTTAAAAATTATGAAGCAATCTTTTACTATTCCTAAACTATACTAGTTGTCCCTAAGACCAGTTCTATTCAAAATTGAAACACTCGTTCAGATTTCGAATTAAGTGCTTAAAGTGTCGTGAGACAATGGTCATCACCGTGATGAGGCGGCCACCTCAGGGCTGGTTGCATTGATGTCATGACAACCACCGTGCACCGCAATAGGTTGCCAATAGCAAAGAAGTAAATACTGTGAATTGCCACGACATTTTGCAAACACCTTCCTTTGTGTGTGTGTGTGTCTGTGTGCGAAGAGTTTTTTGTCATATTATATGGTTGGTAGCGTGCATACGGCTTCATGATCATATGATCTGAAGGTCAAGGCTTTGAGACACAATCGACTTATGGTTTCAAGAATAATGAAGCGGCACATATCCACACAAGCCCACATCACACAAGTCAAAATAGAGAATAGGAAATGCCGAAAATACTTGGAGGAAAACTGATGCGTTGGGAGGCCTTACGACTCAAAAATGACATTTCCATCAAACAGCTTCAATGCAGGTATGCACACATCAGCAACGACAATAAAAGCTGAAACACTGACAAATACGAATTTTGTTTGCTCATGATGAGTATGCAAGTGCTTGCACAAAGAAATCAAAGTCCAAGCCTACATGGAGTTAATTGACCAATAACCTGCTCAATTGAGAGATGACACAAAGGGCGTTAGGGGGAGGAAAAAGATGACTTTTCCAAATACTCTGGCAGCCTTTTTTGGAGTAAATGACTACACCAATAATGTAAGTGTACCTACTCATGTGATTGAGGCATGTGATTGCAAGGGTATTGGAATCAACTATCAAACTGCGAGACTGCGCTATGAAATGAAACATCAAACGCGAAGCCCACTCAGATATTTTTGGGTGACACACTTTATTCCAATGCATAAGAGGCGTATCCAGTGAGCAAGAGGCTGCAACCATGGGTCTGGTTTGTGCAGTGAGTTTAGAGAAGTGACCTGAACTAAAGTCTGTGAGGTGGCAACCGTTTGCACCACATTATCCAATTTTGAAGAAATTATACTCAAAAGCAAGAAATTCACTTGTATAAGTGAGTCCTACCAGTTAAAAATCAAAAGTGGATTTAGAAAAACGCAAAATCTCACCACGCCTTGGATTATAGAGGAAAATACACAACCACAACATGTGTATTTCTGCGTAATCCCATTTTATAAAACTATAGCTCATAGGAATGTACTTCCTGTTAACCAATTTTTTCCACTACTTAGGGAATGACAGAAAAGAATGCGATAGTTGGCAGTGAATGCATGCTAGCTTGGCTGACACGAATACATTAGCGATCGTGTATGTGTGACTAATAGGAGGAAATTCATATGAACTCCATGCGTGCATACTCACATGCGAGAGCTGAAGAAACGCTCACGTTAGAGCCTCGTAATTTCAACTATTATCAGCCTTGCACTTAAAGAAATTGGATTGCTGGAAAAGTGTTCACCACAAATGGGCTTGCATAAACTTAAAAGACACACTAAGATTGTGGGGGCCTGAAAAAATCACTATGACCTCAGTTTGTAAGCCCACATCTGTAGAAGTAAGTAGAATGAACCCCTAACCCTTGGCGCTTCAAATCAATTTAGTGAGCTGTGCCCAATGTGGATCTCATCTTAACATTGATTGGACGAAGCCAAGGTCATCGAGTAGCCAATAGTTGTGATAGGGGTTGTGAAGAGGCCAGATCCTCCAAACTAGGTGAATTAGAAAATAAAATGATGTGCTTTCGTCAAAACTGTCGGAATAACAACATATTTTCCTTGCCTGCTTTTGAATGAGTGGAGAAAGCGGAGTTGCTATGCAGCTGTGTGGGCGTCAGTGCAAGACGAATAACAGCTATGAAATCCCTTGTGAAAAGCTGCAGTTCGATTCTCCTAGAATCCCGAGAATCTTTATCATCTCAACACAGTAAGGAAAGCTAGGATCCTCATACGTAATGACGACGCCATCTATACACGGTTTATAAAAAATATAAACTAACAGACTTTTATAAGCAGGCATGAAAAAGCAAAACGACACCAAAATAGTGAGCTTAAGGTGCCGCTTTCATTGCTGTTATGACGCAAACACATCGAATGCTGATGCACGATTTAGACCTTATTGTTTCACAAACACACGCAATTGACCTGACGCAAGTTGGTCTTCCGCTAACATTTGCCTTATAACTTATTGAATTATGCTGGTATACGGCAAACTACATTGTCATACGGCGCTTGACTGCCAAAGTGAGGGACAACAGAGGACGTATTTCGCTGAGTATTTGTGACTTTTCACTAACTTTGCTCTATTGTTGCTAGGCCCTACGGCTTCCAGTTGTTATCAGGGCTCACCATTGGTCTGAAAGGGTTTGCCATCTTAGCTACTGGAGTGATTGCAAAAAGAAATGAAAGGGACTATCGCAAGCTAGACAGGCGTAAAATAGGGTCTACAGAAGCGCCGTACATTCTGCCCAAAGACTTTGAATCACAGTTCAAAAATAGCGAATCTCATCACTCCGAAGTTGCGTGAGTCTAATTCGTCAAACAAATTAGCGCTGTTGAATAGATCAGCATCCGATGCCCATGACATGGCCAGTAATGAAATTGTTTCGGGTTCGCAATGCCTTGGCTTTGTGCACTGCTTATTCATGCAGTGCAAGGTGATAGAAGAAAGCGAGGAAGAGGGAGAGAGATGAAGAGTAGTAAAGAGCATGCACACGTTGAACCAGAATCAGATCATATTCACACACAAATACGAAACAGGCACACTCTAACAAAGAAACGAACGAACGAAGTGTCTTGCGTATGGCGACACACAGAGTGGGCTTGCCTTCGCATGAAAAAGGGGTACTAAAATGGCACGGAATTTATATTACCAGGTATGCAGGCATGATTTTGAGGCAAAGGCGAGAACTATTTTAAGGCAAGCGACTCACTTTTCGCGACTTCTTCTGGTAGACGACCGCCTTCTCGACGTCCGTTTTTGCCGTCTCGATGTAGTCCTTTGCTTGGTCCACATTATACTCAATCTTATCAATCGTTTCTTGCTGAAGAAAGACAAAAGCGATGCAAATTACGAAACATCATATTCAAGCGATCTATTTTACATGCGTTACATAGGGTAGAGGATTTGTAACACATCTCAAAAGTCTGCTTTGTAAGTGTAGCAAAGCACGTTTAACATATAAACAGAAAATAGCGCTATTGTCGTGGAGGAAGAATAATAAAGGAGGGAAAATGTCAATTCTATGTAACATTTGGTATCCCAAATTCCAATGAAATTGGGAGGAAATGTCAATGCTGGCAGTGATAGATGAAAGAACGCATACCTGAGAATCCACAAGCGTTGCTAGGTCCTGAAACATGTCGTGCAACTCTTTTATACTCTGTTCCAATTTAATGATATCCTGATGCCTCGCCTCGATCTCAGACAGTGTCTGCCTGGCCAATTGCGTGTCTGCCAAAATCTGGTAGAAACGTTAAGATTTGCTGTGATAATGGCTTTAATTGTAAAAGTTTTTTTTTAAGAAGAGAACCCAAAACTTACACTCTGGGTGAAAATCTGTGGATTTCCAGACTCTAGCATGTCTTCCAACTCCTCGTCTGTTATGTTGCGATCAGCTGAAAGGAAACAAAACACCTGAAAACCATGACCAAATTTAAAGTCAAAATTTTGCCAGTTGTGCGAAAAACGAAAGTGTGTGAGTGATTGCAAATAAGACTATTCATAGTTTAGTTGGAAAAGGAATGTGTAGAAGATAAGGACCAGAACTTCAATATCGTTTGTGTCACTCTTCGCGACGATTATTCTAAGGTCCAAAAATGAAACACGATTACAGGCCCAAAATCGAGGAGGAAGGGGAATGAAAGCCAGTTAACAGCATTTACAAAGCGCATGCATTGTTCCCTCATGTAAACACACACTCATACACAATACGTGGACACAAAGAACTGACGAATAATGAACGACAGGAAAAGCCATGAGATCACCACTACCAGCAACATGCATTGGGGCAGGGGGAGAGTACCCTTACCAACTGCAAGTTGTCGCCTGAGGTAGTCTTTTGATCGGTTTACGTAGCTTGACTGCCACGTGTTGTAGTCGACTATCAGCTCGGCCAGAGAGGTGGAGATGTATCTTGTCTACACAAAAGGCATTATTACCATCACCAATGTACACGTTCGGGGATTGACGAGGAAGGAGTGAAGATGCACGCTTATGCAAAACTACATGGCAAATGGAGCTGCGAGAAATTGGTATTTTTTTTAACTATGCAGTCTTCATTAGACCCCATTGGTTGCCCAAAGTGCGCCGCTTAAGGCAAACAAGAAAGGCCCCTTCTTCCGAACCAAACTACTCGAAATAAAGGGTCAAAGTCAATAGTAGAAATGTTTCAAAAGGAGAGATGATTTGAAACTAATGTAGCCACTTAGAAAGCCTTCCAAATAAAGCAAACAGCAGAAATAAGCATAGCCTTGCCAAAAAATTGGAGCATGTCAATCAGAAACTCAATACAATGGGGACAAACACACTGGATCGCCTTGACAATACCTCTGCAAAGTTCCGTCATTGATGCGGCTTGTCTTAAACAA